ATAAAATAGTTGTTAAGCAGCATCCACAATTAAGTTTGTTAACCAATTTCGGCCATTTATTGAAAATAAATCCTTAATAGTAAGGTAGTGCATGAAACGGCGGAAATGAAATGAAACGGAATTTGAATCGCCGTGCACACATTTAAACAATGATTCACAACTTAAAATTTACAATTCTGAATCAATGTTTAACTCACTATGCTGTTTTAAAATGGACAAATCTCTTTTATATTTTCCTTCCATTTTAAAAGCACATTTGTTTTCTACGATTATGTAGGAATGGTCATGGCATATGGATGCTTCGTGACTTTGTTCTTGAATTTTTAATATTGTAGAAAAATCTTTTTTAAACATTCCAGTAGGAATATACTAAAAGTATAGTCTTTTATTAAGCGATTTTTTCCAACTTTCCTTGTGCTTGGAAAGTTTTCGCTTGTTTGACATTTCATCGAACCGTTTCTCAGTTTTTTATTAATATATATTTTTTGTAGGCCTTACAACTAGTTCACTAAACGGTTCCACAATACCCGGTTTTGCAAGTTCAACTTGTCTAGCAATGGACTTTGACAACTCATTCAGCTTACGGATAAATCGTCCTGGCTTTTAGCCGTTTTTATTATTTGTCTTTATAGCACTATATATAAGTGTTTTAAAGAATGATTCTATAGGCCCATTACTGGGTCTTTTATTGGATTTCTCAATAAAATTACGTATAATATTGGTCCAAAAAGTTGCGTGAACAAGGTATTTATTTAAAATTAGATCCAGCATTTCTGGACTTAAATAAATATAAATGGACCTTTTTCGGCAATGGGCAGAAAAGTTGGATCATCGACAACTTCCTTACTTTCTCCCAATTTTATACTGTCTATCAAATAAAATGTGGATGGCTCTTTACAATATTTAGTAAAATAATAAATGGCATCATCCACAATATTATTAACATATGGAAAAAGAAGAATGATTGCAATATTTCGTAACAATTTTTGTAATTCTCCAATATTATTTATGGAATTTGCACAACCCAAGGAATTTCTTAAAAATGAATTGAGATCAATATTGTCCAAACCAACTGCTTCATATATGTTGAGACACATAATTTTGCTGTAGTGGCTCGTACAAAATTGAACGCATACTTTTGGAAATGTGCGATTTAAATTATACAAAAAACTAAAACAAATATCATTGTACGTTGCAAGATCAATGCTGTTATATTCTTTTAAGCAAAACTAACATCAGTAATTATTCTTTGGCAAATAAGCCATTTTAAATTTATTTTTTTATCAGAACTCCCGCAGCTCACATAAAAATCTGCCTATTTCTGACGATTTATGATTGGAGAGAATCGCAGGTGACAGGAAAAACGATTCGAAGCTCTGGAATCTGAGCAACCAATCAATATAAAAATGTACGTTTTTTGATAAAGTTCATTGGCTGTACTACATTCCCAGTCGCGTCAATATGCAGTGTCCGTAGTTTTAAATGGGTCAACAACATACTTATATGTTGTCTGTCCCATAAAAATATTTCTAGTTTCTTAGAAAGTAACTGAATAAAGTTGGCATACCCATTAGAAAACATATCGAAAGTATCTTTAAATGGATCTTTGTCAAAATCATATTTTCCATTATCCTCCGAAATTAAATTCTATAAAAGGTTAGTTTCTCATTAGTAATCTGATCATTACCAATTTTTTTGATCTATATTCAAACGGAGAAGTGTTTATATTGGAAGCCTTTTCTATAAATCTATTTATTGCTCTGCACTGCGTTGACTTTGTAAGGCCCATTGTATGGGGGATATGTGGCTGCTTGTGTATACACTTACAACAGCGTCAAGTGTCCCATGGAACAAAAAGTAGTTGCATGACGGATCTTTGCAGTAACCATGTGCAGCAAAAAAATTTTTGTTAAGTCTAATTGACTTGAAAAACAAAACACATGCGTTGTAATGAGAAGTGTATGCTTCTCGAATAATGTGTTCAATGCTTTTTTTTTTTAAATATCGCACACAATTGATTTAACGTGGTCATAAATTCTTGGATACTGATTTCAGTATGCAAATTGCTGGAACCTGAAAGTGCTCCGTGGCATCCTTTCAAATTACTAACTAACTGAACTTCTCTGTTTAAGCTATCATGAACATTGTAGTATTTTTTCCGAAAGCATTTTAATGTCGCTTCGACAAAGCATGCGTCATTATTAAACTCAGACGGACAATTTGTAGGCTCATTAAGACTATAATTAGAACTATCATTTTCTATGCTAGACATATCACTAATATAATTGCTAATTTCTAGTTTACTGCTTACATGATTACTACCGTTAGATACGTCCTGGCGTTCTTTTGAGTAGGCAGCCTGAAACTGGTAAAACAACTCACCAATTAGGGTTATAAAAAATATTAAAGCTTTATGATTACTTATGCGTTTAAAACTTTTCGTAATAATTTTTCGATTCTTAACATTATCTGCCAGTTGAAAATGTGTCCAATTTCGCTCTATAAACTTATTGTTAACAATAAGTAATATAGATTGAAAATCAGTTGGACTAAAATTTCCAACTCGAGGTATTATGTTTCTGGCAATGGCTTCTGTTATGGCATCACGAAGTCCAAGAAAGATTGTCCTTAAAAAATTTTTAATATATTAATGGTAAAATTAAATCGAATAAGTTAAACAACAATTTTGTTATCTATTTTTAGTACAATTCCAAAAATTTTAAAAATGTACTAACGACTAAGTTATGTCAAAATTAAAAATTCCTTTATTTACCAGTTCGTTTGCCAAAAATGGTCATTTATTTTCAATAGCTTTTAGGTAACAAACAATTAAGAATGCTCTAGTGGAGTGGGAGTGCACAGCTAGGGAATACCGTTCCTACCAACAACAAACAAAGCTATAGCTATAGAATGAAAGTTACCTGATATAAAGGAAGCTACTTGCGGACAAAAGGAGCTCATAGGTTTTTAATTCGACGCGTGCATACATACGGACGGACAGACAGAAGCACAGACGGACAGACAGACGCACATGGCTGGATCGACTAGGCTATTGATGCTGATCAAGAATACATACTTTAAGTGGTTGAAGATCCTTTCTTCTGCCTGTTACATACACAAATACATTATACCTCTTTTACCCATTTTTAATGGGTTCAGGCTATAAAAAGGAGAACACAATCAGTCACTAAATAAAATCTTACCGTTTTGCGTTTCCTGGAACCATTTCAAACTTGTTAGATTAAAATATAAACAAATAAATAACAAATGTTGTAAATATATACATATGTTTAAATATGTATACAAATTTCGTTTAAATTAAATAGCATGGAAAGCAAAAGTGCCGCTATGTTAGAGGCTGCCAACTTATGAAGAAAGCTAACCTATGGGAACATAAAGATGCCACCTTGTGAAAATAAGTAAAAGTACACAAGACGATGAATATTAACAAACGTGTTATTTATATAATATAAATACTTTATATAGTTGTTAAAACATTCTACAATTTGTATTATTATCTGTGTATATATAAATATAGAGACAAATAGAGACGATAAAATACATTTTTATTGTGAGCCCAATTACAAACTATTCATCTCCATGTATAGAAAGAGTGACCGATATTTTAATTATTCACTTATTTTCAGAGATTGACACTTTTATATGCTAGGCTTATAATGGGTTGGCAGGGTCTATTATAACGGTACTTTTATGTATTCAAGAAAACAGCGCAATATATACATATGTTTTTTTGCATTAACATAGGATGTTATGAGAGAAATAGAAAACTGAGAATTTCTCAAAATCTGTACCGATGATTTTAATGAAATAACTACCAAAATGATTGATAAATCGTGCTCAATATGCACAACTTCCGTGCATTTGGGGCCGTTTTCGGAGAAAGAAAATAATAAAGATTAAAATATGGCTGGCATTTAACAGTATGATATCTAATATTGCCAGCATGTTTTTTTGCATTAACATGGGATTGTATGAGAGAAATAGAAAACTGAGAATTTCTCAAAATCTGTACCGATGATTTTAATGAAATAACTACCAAAATGATTGATAAATCGTGCTCAATATGCACAACTTCCGTGCATTTGGGGCCGTTTTCGGAGAAATAAAATAATAAAGATTAAAAGATGGCTGCCATTTAACAGTATGATATCTAATTTTGCCAGCAATTTTTCAATTGCAATGCAATGCAATTTTTCCGTAAACTGCGCTGTTAAGTATGACTTAATATTACTCATATAATTTGCTTTGACTTATTAATTTAATTAACTGTGAGTCCTTTTCGTTTTTTCATGGTAACATATTATTCAAATTGGATTGGATCCCGCCCAATTCTGTACAAAATTGTTCAACACTGATGCCAGGCAGTGATTCAGCTCACGTAGGAAATAGCAGTTCGATAGACTTTATGAATGAACTATATGAGGTTGGTTTACAATTAATTAATTTTCTGAAAATCTGTACCGTCCATTTACTTAAATTTAGTGCCTAAAGTTTCTTAAAATATGTATCTACAAGAGGGTATAGCGTGCATTGAGGGCCATTGCCTCTGAGTTAAGAAATAAGAAGGTTGTTTTTTTGCGGTCATTTTATGTGGGGCTGACATGGGATTGTTGGACTCTTTTCCAAATATCTTAAAAATGGTACCGACGATTTGATTCAAATGTTCACAGTTGGCTAGGTGAAACTATAGGTCTTAATAATGTATATGCGGTTTTCGGGGCCATCATCGCTAAATTTAGATATTTATGGAATGGTGAAAAACTAATATTTTAACCCCTTGGTTTACCAATATTATAAATTAAAATTCAAAAACAAATGTATGTAGGCAGTAAATAATTTAATTTTTGCAATTCTGCATTTAATTTTATTAGGTTCTGTGCTTAAAAACATAAAAGCGGCGTTAAAATATTTTTAATTTGGCCACACTGGAGCAGCCTGTCTGGTAGATCAGCATAATTTTCATAGATACAGTGTTACGATGACTGTATGGTGGCTTTTTTCGCGTGTCTGACAGATGACAACTGAAAAATAAGGGATTTACATTAATGAAAATTATGAAGATTCGGTTATATATATACATACATACATTCATATGTATATTCATATTTAACTTTTTTTCGTTCGCATATGCGTCCTTTCCCCTGTCAGCCACATATGTACCTACATATGTACCATATACATATGTATATGTATGTATGAATCTGCATGTATTTGCATATCACAACCCAATAATCAATCGCTTCCACGCCCTGTCTCTTGCGCAAATAATACTTTATTGAACAAAGTAATAAAACTCAGTAATCTAGCCTCATTTGAAAGAAACCCTTTTGCTTTAATTATTTAAAAAAAAAACATGTACATACCTACATATATATGTATATAACTAGTTTAATGCTGCTTTACGCCTGTCAAAATATAGTAATGACAGCCTTGTAGATAATATAAGAACTAATGCAAGAGAATATTTGATTTATTGTAACCTCATTAATTTTCATTAATTTTAATTGTGTTTTTTTTTTTTTAATTTTGTTTATTATGAATGTTCTTTTTATTTGTGAAAAATAATAATGCCTTTTTAATGATTTTCCTAAAAACTTTGACCTCTGTCTTCCGACACTTGCGGGTTGAATATAGAATAGACATCGTCTTAATTATCACTTTAAACAAAAAAGGAAGCTCCTTAAGGATTAAAGCTCACCCAGACTGAGAAAAAAAATGCTTTACATATGTAGTAAATAACTATGTACACATAATGTAAGGTGCATGCGTAGCTGCAGATGACACATATGTATGCCTGCATAAGTTATAATAGAATTCATTAAAAAATTACAGATGCACCAAGGCGACCTTGTCCTAGTAAATTAATTAAACGTTAACCTTGTGAAGGGTTATTATGATGGCCATTGAAATCAGCATCAACATCTCTAAAGCTAGACATGTCAATTACCGCCTTCCTATGACAGGCCCATGTAAAATGTCCCTATAAAACACATTGGTAGGGGTCTCCATGCCTAAGAGCCAATAAGCTCTAGCACCAATCTACTACCTCGACTTGCAGGAATCCCCTGTGTTGTGTTAGCAGGCTACTGTACTGAAAAATATGTTACAGAATATTAAAATTAAAAATTAAAATAAAATTATTAAATTGAACAATTAATAACTCATTTATTAAAATCAGGTTGCATAAATATGTATACAAAAATGTATACAGTTATACAGCAATATGTCAACCGCAAATTAAAAATTGAAGGTAAAAGCCCTTTTCATTAAATTTGTAAGAATCATTTTGGATGTAGATCACTTCTTAGATATTAATTGTTCAAATTTGTGTTTTTACATATGTATTTCACTAAACGCTTTTCTATTTGAAATATAAACTTAACTGTTCATATGTTTTATTTTATACCATGCCAATTAACCAATGGAATAGCATTTATTTAATTTAGTTTCCGGTATTACACTTTACATATGTTTGCCCTTGCATATATTCTATAGATACATCTATATTTGACGCCCCCGACGCGTCTTGCCTTCTGATCATATCTTGTGATTTTTTTAAAGAGCATTAACAACAACATGCATTTGTTCGAACGTGTCAGACTGATCTCGATAGTGTGCGAAGGAGAATAACGAATCTGTATGATGAGCAAGGTACCATTTTTTGTGTTTCGCACCGCTAAAAAGAAGCAAAAGAACAGAAGATCATCAAAAACAAAGTTCAGCTGTCTTTGTTTTTGTACGTTTGTCGACTGGCACTGCGCTTGGTGATATACGAAGAAGACAATTGGCCACCGCTCTCACACCCGAGTCTCAATGGACTGCGCCAGAGCTACAAGGAATTATTAAAATTATCAGTAGGTTATATCACCATATTGGCAAAATCTTTATAAAAAATAATCAATATTTAATGCATTTTGTAGCCTCGATTTTCTTTTCACTTAAGGTTGTTCCGATGATATACATTTTAAAGATCCTGCAACTCATGCCATTTCATGCCCAACACAGACTCTCTAAGACACTCGCTCACTCCAACAAACACACACACACACACACATGCGCGCACACACACACAAATTGTCGCACATGGCCAAGAGCAAACGTAAGTATTCAACATCTCTGGCAACATCTCAGCCAGCAGTCAAACTCATCATCATCCTCCACACCAGTTTGCTCACCAGCTACAACAACACAACAGCAACAACCATAGCGACGACGTCGTCGATGAGGGTAACATCGAGAGCTGCTAGCAGCAGGCAATTCGCAGATTTTATATTTCAGTTTCGTGTAAATCGTGAAAGCGGCTGGTCAGCTTTGTTTTTGGCTGCAGATCAACACAAAATAAATAAATAAATAAAGAATATTTACTAAAAGAAAAATAAAAATCGTAAAAAGGGGAATGTGTTATACTTACAAATTAAGTTTGAAATATTCATTGGTAAACAAAATAAAGATTGGCATTTTGTATTGTTTTGCATTATTCATAACATCATTCGGAAAGTCGCGAGTCAGTGCAATTGGCATTAAACCGGATACTCAAGATCTCCAAATTGAAGTCGTTGTTGTCAATGTGCAATAATTCGCCGTCAGGTCAAAACAAATAAAAAGCCAGCCAAATAGTAATATTAACGAACCTTCGGTCTACAAAAGCGTGGAAAGTGGCACAATATTCTACAGTACAAAACACAATTTAAAAACCTGGTATTGCTAGTTTTCAGTACCTATTAATCATACACCTATAAACATATACATATGTAAACCAACACCTATCTCAGCCAGCTGAACAGCGCGTGTTTATTTCTGTTCGTGGGCAAAGAAAATTGCCAGACAAAATAAAAAGCAAAAGAAAATTCGTGCACGCCAAAGTAACATATTTATTTTTAACAATTTCGCAACCGTTCGAATTTTGCTCCAGTCCAGCGAATAGAAAATTCTGAACTGTACTGTGAGACAGACTGTCAGCAGCAATAGCAACAATAAAACTGATCGCTGAGAAAACCAAACAAGTAAGAGTTCGTATCTCTCGACTACACAATACGCTGCTATCAGTATAATTACACTGCAACTGAAGATTCATGATAAATGAGATTTTAAATTTGTATCAGATGTACAGTGTGTGATTTTCGGGGTGGGATTTCATAGTCTAACGGGCATTTGAAACAATTAAAAACAAGTAAGAGATTCTAGTCGGGAGCTCCCGACTAGGGGATACCCTGAACCCTCTTCATCCAACATCAAATGCATATATATTCTATTTGAGAAGCTATATGTCAAGTTTGGAGACTCAAGCTCTTATTATTTACAAAATTGCCCAAAAAACAGGATATCGATATCGATTTTTATCGATTGCTTGGAAACGGAGTAAGTTATCCATTATCGGACTAGGAGCACCTACATCTAAAATTTAAAGTCTCTAGCTCTTATAGGTTCTGAGATCCTTACGTTCATACATACGGACAGACAGACGGACATGGCAAGATCGCCTCGGCTATTGATGCTGATCAAGAATATACATATATACTTTATGGGGTCGGAGATGCTTCCTTCTGCCTGTTACATACATTTGGATTTCGCACAGATACAATATACCCTTATACCCATTTTTAATGGGTTCAGGGTATAAATATAAAAACAGTTTTATAAGATTATTATAATCATTGGTAAGGGGTACAGGGTATGACATGTAACGGCCTCAGCCAGGTTGAAAAGGATCTTATTGGTTATTAGATTCGTTACCCTTTAAACTGTAAGCCCAGAAAATACATATTTTTGTATTTGTAATTTTGGTGATTAGCTCGAAAACAGTGGAAAGCTTAAGTCTTATTCTTAACACTTTTTACAAGAAATCTAGCCTTAAACGCGTTTAACAAATAGTACATAGTATGCGCTAAATACGAACAGCAAAGTGGACACTGCTCCAAACCAATATACCCCTTTTCACTTGTGAAAGTACAAGAGTATATAAGCAGCGGCAGTCGGCAGTCGGCGTAGATCGGACATACAGTGACGTTGCGTGTTTGGTGAGTAATCAGTATTTCCATGTGTATCAAGTAAGAGTGTTCATGTGAAGAGTGCATGACTAGGAGATACCTTGCACACTTGTCTGTAGCACATATTCGAATTTATTTGGGCATATACATATGTATGTGTATACGTCAATATACAAAAATAAAAAAAAACAAAAGTGTTTATGCTGAGTGACTGACTGCTAAAAAATATTCTAGCAAAACTTTAAGCTGATTGATATAAATGTAAGTTTTTATGGGTTAAATAAACACTTAGGTCATGTTTTGTCTCCGTTAACAAAACCCAATGGTTTTTCATCCGTTTGGCTTCAAACTTACTTTACTGGTTTACTTAAGTGTTCTGGTCGAGAATGCCCGACTTTACGATTCCTTGAAGCCCACGCTGAGCTGTCATCATAACAAAATCACATGTACACCCATGCACCCTGCGGTTGCGGTTCTTTTTCTATTATCCGCACACTATGGGACATGCTTTCGGGATATGTTTACATCATTGTTTATTGTCCGATATTTATGAAAATTTTAACTGATACATCTGACATCGACGTATTATAGATAAGGACATGACTACTCGACTCGGCTATTGGTGCTGACCTGGAAATGACTCCATCTGCCAGTTCCGTATATTTGCACAAAAGGATTATACCCTTTTTTATACCCTGAACCTATTAAAAATGGGTATAAGGAGATATTGTATTTGTGCGAAATCTAAATGTATGTAACAGGCAGAAGGAAGCATCTCCGACCCCATAAAGTATATATATTCTTGATCAGCATCAATAGACGAGTCGATCTAACCATGTTCTTCTGTCTGTCCGTCCGTCCGTATGTATGAACGCAAGGATCTGAGAACCTATAAGAGATAGAGACAGACAGACAGACATGGCTAGATCGACTCGGCTATTGATGCTGATCAAAAATATATATACTTTATGGGGTCGGAGATCTTTCCTTCTGCCTGTTACATACATTTGGATTTTGCACAAATACAATATACCCTTATACCCATTTTTTATGGGTTCAGGGTATAAGAATGTAAGTCAGTGATTTTGTCATCAGCAACTCTTGGTGGCATGAAAGTTTTTTGATAACTTGATCGGCCTCAAAATTATTTTCGAGGATCTTTATGACAATTCAATTGAAATTCAAAAGCCCCTTATGGATGATAATTGGTGCCCAAGGGTTGTAAGGGCAAAGTTTTAATTTTCCTCTGATCGGCCTCAAACTCATGTTTAACCACAACAGCAGAGTTTAATAATACATAAGTGTTTACAAGTAGATCGGATTTAACCATATTTTAAAATATCTTTGAGAACATTTTTTTGATGCGGGTTTCAACGTACGGATCAAACGTTTAATGATCGAATGTTGTTTTTTACGCTTTAGTTTAACATAGGAGGACACCGTTGATAAAAACTTATGGTTTTTCGGACTTTAATCATATATTTTTTAAAGGAATTAGGGGTAGATTTAAATTGTCTACGGATGGGAAACGGATGAAAAAGTAAAATTTTAAATGTCAGGCACAAAAATAACATGGACAAGGCCAGGGAATACCGGCTAAGTATATAATTTCCTATTGGAAGAATTGGTCGATTAATCACATATTGTATGAGAAACCGAACTTAGCTTTAAAAAACTTCATTATGCTTTTTATATACATATATGTGCAAAATATTATCATCATCGGTATACGTCATTATACGGCTAAACAGGAACAATAGTTGTTTAAATGAGAGCGTAGATAAATTTAATATTTAGTGCATCTAGGTCTTATGGAAATCTCTCGAAATCGACGCGATCAGAACAATTAATTGTCGGTTGGTAGATAAACAGATTGTTAGCTGGGGTTAAGTGGGATCGGATGTGTGCCCTTCTGCCTCACACCTGGTATACAAATAATTAGTAGGGGTTCATATAGATTAGTTAGGAAAGTAATAGTTTGCAGAATTTATAATTCACTCCTGCTATTTTAATACATAACATCATTCCAAATTCTAACATATTACTTTTTTATATTTGTTTACAGAAACCCGCAGTGCGGATACGATTGCCACAATGTCAACAGCTACTTGCGCCCGTTTTTGCACACCGATTGCAGGCGTTGGCAAAACTTTAGCATCAACAAAAGGCAGCACCTCAACACAAATAAAAGCAGGAAGCGAAAGCCACTTGGCACCTGTGTCATCGCAGCAGAATAAGAAGAAAAATCCTTCAACCAGCTCAACAACAAATAACGCTAATACAGAGGCCACATTTACATTCAAGTTAGGGTCTGGCACTGTCGGTAGCGACGTGCGCGGAGACAGCTGTAGTGTGGCCTCTAATGAGTCATCAGATCCCTTAGAATCGGATTATAGCGAGGAAAGCGATGAAGAAGAATCGCAACAGCAGAAAAAAAAACAGACGCAATCCACACACGTCAACGCCAGTAGCCGTAGCAGCAGCAGCGTCACGTCAACGTCTGTGAATAATGATACCGTCGATGAAGATGGGAAGAACGATGGCCACGACACAGATGACGTCACCAATAACGAGGACTCCGATAAAAGCGATAATGACGACGGCAATGATACTGGCGATGAGGAGACTGACGACGAGTCCGAAGAAAGTAACAGCATTCAAACAGCAAAGGGTGTGCGCAAATTTCACTTTGATAACTTTCAGATTATCAAAACTGTCGGTGAGTACCCGCCTAATCACTTCTTATTAATTTATCATCCAAGTTATTACAATCATTATCACGCACATACTAGTTTTACTGCCTCCGACATTGAACTTGTCTCGATTCACGGTACGAACAATAGAGGGATACCTCCCTTGACCTGAAGAGGGGTGAATTTCCTAAAATGTCTGAATTTTTATAAAGTTTACAAACGTGTATCTGAAACTGATCAGATTAAAAACAATAAATTGCATGTTATCATTTTTTTTAGAGCTTGTAAATCATGTTTGAAGTAGTCTGTGCTAAGCTTTAATCGGCCCTAATAAAATGTAATCAATCGTAAGCCAAAACCGATGTCGAAATTATAATTTTTAAACCTATTCTACTAATGTATCGTCTGGCTTTGGCAATGGCACGTTTAAAAGAAATGTTCTCAAAAAAATTTAAAAATGTACTCTAAACCGATCCGTTGTGGGTGAAATTTTCAAAATCGCTAAAACACGCATTCATTAAATCCTTTTGTAGGACTTATAAAACTTCACCAAAAAATATGAGAATTGCATATTCTACCGGCAAAGCTTGAATTTTACGAAAATTGTGAAACACGTTTTAAATGGTTTTTTGTATAGATCTTTGGCCCCCATTTCAACAAAGAAGATATGCGTATTTTGAAGAGTGCGAAACACCCCTTAAATTAATTAGAACAAAGGCCTTTGAAAATGATTTTGAGGCCGATTAAATTTACCAAATCGCTGAAACAGATATTCCTTAAATTCTATGTGGAGCTTTAAAAATAAGTTT